AACAATACTCAGTCGACCCAAGTTACCTTCACTTATAACTCTTGATTATACTCTCTTCGCCTGTGATAAGGCTATAGTCAGACCATTCATCTTAGAAACAATGCCCGACTAGCCTTGTTCGTATATAAGCATATATATATATCACAATATAGAGAATCTTATTCGTTTGTTCTCATTATGGTCCTGAGGCCTCAGACTTAGACCATTCATCTTAGAAAGAATGTCTAGTCCTCTGGCCCTGAATCCTCCCTCAGAAAGAACAATCAAGGAGAGGTGAACCATTCATCTTAGAAACAATGCTCAGCTCTCCCGTTTTCAGCACACAAAAAAGACAGAGTACCCTGGGTCTGACCTAGGGACTGTTCAGAAACCACCCAAATAAAACAGCGGCCAGACCATTCATCTTAGAAACGATGTCTGGCCCTCAAAAGTCAAGCAAGCAATGCCCCTCAGAAATAAGTAGCCAGATCATTCATCTTAGAAACAATGCCTGACACAATTAAAGAAACACAACAACCAAGCAATTCAACTTAGAAACCATGTTTGATTCTTCAGAAAACAGAACAAAACACAATAGTCAGGCCATTCATCTTAGAAACAATGCCTGACCCTATCAGACCTGTCCAATCGCAAACAAAACTGCCTTCCTCCCAACCTTCCCCCTGATGCAACCCCTTGTGACAATCTGTTTTCAGACAAACAAGAAACCGAAACTGCCATTGTACAAATATTTTTTTAGTTAGTCTGATTTTGTGTCCTGAACGTCAATCCCCAAAAGTCAAAGTAAGGGTGGCATGCCATACAGTCAGCCAATACATAGGGAGAGGTACAGATAGGGGTTAGACCGAGTTTATAAAGGAAGCAATGGTTACCTTTTAATTCCTTGCCTCCAGAACTCCTCCTGAGTTCCGGCAGAGCTCCCGCAATCGGTGGGGTTACGGGTTGCAATCCCGCTTGCCGCCTTCCTCTCAGAACCACAGACTGGACTTAGAGTGAGAGAGGTAGAGGATGGTAGATTTGAGACTCTCAGATCCAAGAGAGGTGCTCTCAGACTCGCATGAGAGGGCCTTGATACCTTGGTACGCATGAGAGCCCCATAATGGCGGCCAACTTGCACCGCACCTTGGCCAGGCAGAAGTCAAACCACCGATTGCTGATTCTCATATGACTCTTGAAACTAACAACAAGGACACCCCTTCTACGGAGTCGACGACCTCGGCCCCTCCGCAAGCCTGCACTCCTGCTGCTCACTCTTTACTGTTCAACCCGGTTAGAATGGTCCCCGTTCCAGCTGGCGGCCAGGTTTACACCCTGCTGGCCTGTTTGCTACTTCGACCTACCGGGTGGGCGGCATCCTAGCCAACAAGTAGATTTCCAACTTTGCAGCCCGCCCCTTAGCCCTTTAATCAACAGACGGGTGCACAGTACGCTGGCAACAAACAGGCCTGTGATCCCTGACTGACCTCCTTGTGAGTGCGCCGGTCAACAGACTGGCCTGCAGCCTCAGCGATGGCCTTCCGGTCCTTCACCCGATACTGCGGGCCGAAACAGGCAAACTTGTAACCTCTGCAGGAACTAGGCTGGCCGACCGCAATCCGTACTCCGCCAGCTGAGCCCCCCATTCGCCAGCAGGCGGCTCTCTACCTCTCACTTCTGCAACTCTCGAGACCCGCCCGTTGGCCTGCTGCCGCAGCTCAATCCCGGGTGGCGGACAGGTAGTGGTTCCCTCCTCTCCCTCCTCGCGCGGTGCTCAGGTAAGCGACCTCTCTCTCTCTCTCTCTCTCTCTCTCTCTCTCTCTCTCTCTCTCTCTCTCTCTCTCTATCGGCGGTCTCCTATCCGACGCATCCGACTGCTCCTCCCACCAGGATAGGCACGACCCCGATCTCGAGGTAAGTCTCCCCCTTCGCTGCCCGCCTGCAACACTCTCATAGCAGTTACGATCAAAACTTGACTGAATCTTCCCCTAAAACACAGACAGATATATGTATGAACACATGTATATTTCCGTCCTTTCACGCTCTTTCCTGCCGGTACATTGCGCACCTTCTACAGATCATACTAAACAGACCGTTCCCCAAGTCGACGATTTAGCACGTCCAATCACCTCAGAATGGTTTAAGCCTTAGTTTAGCATTTTAAAACACAAAAATCGATCATAAAATGATCGAGTTATTTCGATTTCAGCCTCCCCCTCCTTCACTTTCCGCCTTCTCCCTCACATTTAATTTCTCTTCTCTCTCTAAATCTACCAACTCATCTCTAAATCTGACCCCATCACCAAGTTCGCCCGGGCTTAGAATGTTGATCCACCACCCTCTTTCACCCGATTCCGTCGAGAACCGAGTGAAATCTCGATCTTTCACTCCTAGTCTTCTCTCCCCCCACCATAGCTCGGCGCACCCCACTCCTCACTAACCTCTCAATCTACTGACTTCCCTCCAAATCCGACTTCGTAATCGGATTCGCCCGACACACAAACCCCTACGACGAACCTTCCCTCACCTGAATTCATCAAGGATCGAGTGAATTCTCGATCCTCCCCTCTCATCACTTTTCCGCCCACCATAACTTCGCGCACTGACTTTCCTACTAACCTCTTATCCAACACCTCTAACACCAAAACTAACCTCACTAACAGAATCGCCCTACACAAGAACCCCTATCTAGCATTTTCACTCGTCCGATTTCGTTATGAAATAGGCGAGATACGCTTCTTTCTGCCCCGCCACGGCCAGCTTTCGCCATATTTCCTTCTTGCTACACGTACCTGGAGCGAAATCGCACCAGATTCATTCCTTCATTTCCCCCCTGGCCTGCACCTCACCGGCCTTGCGTTCGTCGCCCGTCGCTAGTCTCGCCTGTTGCCGGCTGCCTCCGCTCTCCCTGTCTGCGCCCGGGCACAGTCCTGTCTCCCACTGCACACATCCACACTACCCCTACCCCCCTGCGCTCGCTAGCGCTCCGCCTCGCACGCATCTGCCGCCTCGCCCTGTACCGTTTCGTTCCTCCACCTCGTTAGCGTCCGTCACCAGCTTGCGGCCTTGCTTCGCCCGTCGCCCACTTAGTGCTGCCTAGCCGTCTACCACCTGCGACCTACCGGTATGTTGTTGCCTCCGCCCTTGCCCCGCATGTATTTGCCACATTCCCTCGTCTTGATTCGCCCTCTGCCGCACCACTACTCTGACTGCTGCCAGCGTCCCGAACTACGCCGCCCGATGAGCCACCGAATGCTGAGCAAAAGCATTCGGTCGTCGGGCCCCCCTCTATTTATATGGGCCGCCCCCTCGCGCAGGGACCGTGCTAATCTTCTCTGTAGCGTCCCAATTTTTAATGTGTGTCCCGAAGGACTCCGACCGGGGCAATGCCCCGTGGCACCTCCCCAAAGGCCACGCGGCCTCAACCTTTTCCCTCTCCGATCACGTACCCGGCCCGGATTTGTACCGGGTCCGCCTTGGTCTTCGTCTCAGCAGTTCAGGGGTGTACCCACTGAGCTAGGCTCTTTGGTGCCTGCCACGCCCACGGCACCTCGTCCCTGTCAAAACACCGACTGGCATGGCTCCGGCATAGCTACGAAAACAGTCCGTAATTGCACTTTAGGCGACCCCGCAAATACAACGCGCCCCCACGCGCTCCCATCGCAGTCTCGCGTCCCAAAGCGGGACGCGATAACAATGGGACAAAAAACAGTGGACAATAGGGGAATAATAAATAAATAAATAAATAAAAATAGACGTCGGGGGACCGCGGGACTGCTGGCACCCTGCCCACCCCGCGGATTAGGCCCGTCGCCGCGCCCGTAAACAAAACCAAGGGGGATAGCCCTGCAGGGCCCTCAACCCCTCAGGTTTTGCTCCAGGCTGCTCCGATGCTGCTACGCCAACGCCCGCTGGCCTCGATCCCCGAACCTCCGCCGTGTCAACCCAATATTGTAATCCATAGGGCTAAGTCCAAGTCTGAGACCAACATTAGCGAAGTGCCATGTAAGACGGTGCGGTAGTGCGCTCAGGGCCAGGGAAATTGGCCTGAGGCTCATCTCTGCCTATGAACCGTGCGCGCGGCCGCCTAGCGCCCTGCACCGATTTACCAAGTTGTACCACGACCGCCACTCGCACCACTCTACGTGCCAAGACCTATCGCAGTCACACCGTCGCCGTCGTCGTCACCGGCAAGCCCAACAATCAGCAAGACATAGCCTTTTTAATCCCTACTTAATCAGAACATAAAATTCCTGGCCGGCGATCACGCCGACTCTTCCGCCATCAATTAATAAAAAGATCACGCGCGCCTCACATCCGCGCGCCCACACACTCTCTACTTCTAGACCACATAGCCAGCCTATAGTCACCACACTGCCGCAAGTCGCGCGGCGTTCTCAACAATTCCCTGTCAACTTGTTGGCTGTCACTTGCAAAAGTCAGGGCGGATACCCTTGTAAAGGGTATTCGTGCCGACAGCGTTGAGGCGACACCCGATGGTCCGACCATTGGGCGTCGAGGCGACACCCGACCATCGGGCGCCCGATGGTCCGACCATTGGGCGTCGAGGCGACACCTAACCATCGAGGCGACACCCGACCATCGGGCGC